AGACATGATCAATATGTTCAAACTGCTCACTAAACCATGCCTGCCAATGGCTATGCCTTAGGCCTTTGACGTTGACATTTGCTGCGTTGTGATAGGCAGTTGGTAAACGTTGGATGTTGCATCAAGTATTCTGACCTTGATGCCAAGATCTTGCCAGCCCATTGGGTGACGATTCCTTCCTTCAAAAAACGTCCACGGGATGTATGGAACATGGGGTGTTCAATTGAGTTTCAAAAGGTGATGAATCAACGATCCCAGCAAGCCATCATATCATCCTAGGCAAATGAGCTTCGTTACTCAGTGTGTCGCAACAGGTCGTCATCTTCGTGATAGACCCTTCATGCTCGTCCCTGGTTTATTACGATAGTTATGTTGTTGTTCCATTCACTTTCCTCAAAGAATAAACCATCCTGAGAAACCGCCGAGCCCCCACCACCACCACCACCACCACCACCACCTCGGTGGGTCTTTGCCGTTCGACGGGGTGCTGGCTTGCCACAAGAGGTGATCCAAGTCCCTTCTGGTTCTCGTGATGAAAAATGCGTAGGGCATGGGACCAAACAGGGATGTTAAACTCATTCAAAAGGAACCAAACCAAAGAAAGCAAGGCAAAAAAGCGCGCGCGCGCGCGCACACACACACACACACACACACACACACACACACACTGTCGCTCTGCTGACCCTCGGCTTGCGCCTGCTGCAGCTTCCCAGACTGCGCGCCTGCCAGCAGCGCCTCTCGTGCCTGCTGGCGCCTCAGACAACACCCAGTTTGGTCGGTGGAGTGGGTGAAGGGGTTCTCAAGTGAGAAGCGCTGGAATTCTGGGGATCCGATTTTTCTTCTGCAAAGCAATCCCTAAAATCAACAGTGGCCTGGCATTGTACAAGGTCCCTTGAAGGGGTCGGGCCGCGTCCGACATGAGGCATAAGCATGGAGCCGGTTGATACTTTTGGCAATGTCTGCATCAAGGAACTTCAAAAGCATGCAGCGAGCGCAACTGGTGATTCAGCTAAACGTCCCATTCTGAACTTGTCGCAGCTTTTTGCAAACCATGCTCAATGAAATATTGGCCATGCATGGGAAATAACCTGCAGACCCTTCTGTAGCTTAAACATATGAGATTTGCCATCCGTGGAAATGGCTTCTCCGAAACGGAACATGTCGTCAAAACTGGGGAAGTGAGTTACGTTTGCAGATATGTAGATGCAAGCAGTCAACAGCTTTCGCTCAAGTAGGAGACTCAGATCATGTACGTTCACCTAGATGAAGGACAGGTGTTTGCTGTTGCAATAGTCCATGCTAATGGGACAATGTAATTTCTCAAGAACCGGAAGCTTGAAAGCATGTCACCTAGAAAGACTTGTTCACTTATCTGAATCAAGGAATATCAAGGAATGAGAATCAAGGACTTGTGGGTACCGACTGCAGCTCGCTTATTGAATGTGCCTCACACCATGTCTTGCCTCAGTCACATTCTCGAGTCCTTCCAGAGATCACTTCTGAGCCAAAAGAACCTCCGTAGCCTATTTTGCGTCTGCCCCAATAGAGCCTGTACACTGCAATGCTCAGTTCGCATGTGGGAGTGCGAAGAAAGCCCCTGAGTATGAAGAACAATGTTCATCCCCTCACCAGCAGAAATAAATCCTTGCCATCGTTTTCTACACACATTAAAAAACAAAGAAGAAGCTGCATCCGCCAGTCCCATACATGGGACCAGATATGTATCCCACAGTGAGACAAAACATATGTCAAGCACGTAATGGAGACACGTACCCAGACAGCTAGGCATGTGTTGAATATCTTACACACACAGAATATAGTTCTCAATCGTGCCATAGCACAAAAGCAAGAATATCTCCAGCGGGAACGTTCCCAGCTGAAAGCTATGCAATCTCCGCCCAGACAAGCTCCGTGGCTTTTTGAGCAGCGCTGAGCTCTGGAGATCGGGAGGTCTAGAGTGGTTGCTGGGAATTCCGAGTTCTGGAGTGGAGGTGTTTCAGAAGGTTCAAGGGGAAGGGCTGAAAGGGTTCCGGAAGGTTTTGGGGGTTCCATGGAGGTTGCTATTGGGGATGCTACGTAGGCTTAGGCCTGATGCAACTTTGACTTGACACACCCTACTGGGTCGTTTCTTGAAAATCTTGACTCCAGGGCCAACTTGGGGGCACTGTTTTTCCAGCCTGTTTGGACCTCCAAAGTGGTTGGCTCGTTGGGCTGTGAACAACTGGTTCACGGGGGTCCCCCATCCCTTCCGCTTTCCAACCACGCCGCAGGAGCTCAATCTCCTCTGTGTCGTTTCGGGAGGCCGCCAGCGCCTATCGACACGCCAAAGAACCAAAGCGGGGGGTCCTGCGGATGACCGGCTCAATGTTCCATTCGTGCCCACTGAACAACAGAAGTCCAACATGACACCAAATATTGCAAGTCCCGAGTTTTGATTCCTCCCTCCCATCCGTGCCTGTTGTTCGAAGGTCCCAAAGAAAGGTCGTGTCAATTGCAAACAAACGCCAGCCGAAATGAACCGCTCAAACAAACAAATCCGCTTCAAAGGTACCCGGGAGCCTGGAACCCATCAGCCCGCCTCCTTGAGCTTGCCGCTCTCCACGCCCGCGAGCAGCGCAGTGAGGGCCTCCTGCCGGAGCTGGTTCGCTTCCTCGCCCTAGCAGAGCGGCGGAGGAGAGGTTTGCCGGGGAGCTCACCCAAAAAAAACGACCGCCCAAGCGACAACGGTGCAAATGGGGCCAAAGGCACGGGATGCAAGGACCCAAAAGAAAGAGGGCGGGGACCCCAAGAGGGACTCAAGCTGCAACACGAGAGGCTTGCTGGAACCAAACTTACTTTTATGCCACGCTTGGGCAAATATAAGCCAAATCACCATCACTGCTCCACAGTCACCGTCTCCACTGCTTTCTGTCCATCGCCAACTTGTTGGATCAAACCCCACATTTGCTCGGGTCCGTTAAATACCCCTTGCCATGGGTCGGTCACATTGCATAGTTCGCTTGGGGGTCGAATGCAAAGACGTACTCAAACAACCTCTGGTGTCTACTTTGGAGACATCTCTCCTTTGTCAAATGTGGTCCCACTCTTCGTTTGTTTTTGCTTAATTTGTGTGAAAGCGCAAAAGTCATGCATCCGTTTTCCACACTTCTCCATCCGGGACCAGTCCCTCGGGGCCGCCCACCTCATCGGCCGGGGCTTCGCCACCCTCCGACTTCGAGTTCGACTTCGAGGCCGACTTCAGCTCGAGCTTCTCCGTCAGCACGTCCTCGGCGCACGTCCCAGTTCCGGACCCGGCCTTTCCCACCCTTCCGGCTTGCAAGAGGGAAGCATCTGGGGGGGGAGGGTCTGCACTCGAGGCCGCTTTTTCCCGAGCCAGCTTGCAGATTGACTTGCACCAAAGCCAATGTTCTGCTCGCGCAAACCCTATGTTCTGCTTCTACCACCCAAGAAAGGGTGCAAGGGTGGAGGGGCCTTAAGGGAATCAATACCAAGCAGCGCACTAGCAACGAACTAACACTTTGCCCCCAACCAATTGCCCCCGCCCACCCAGCCCCCATTTCCGAAACTTCCACTAGGCGTCACCAAAAGTACTCCACGACCATCCCCTTCAAAACCAAGGGGTTTTCAAAAAAAAAAAGAGAAAAAAAAACAAGAAAAAACAACGAGTTAGGTAAATCAGATGAGTCTTTCGGCAAAGAAAGCCTGAAAAAACAAATCGAGTCAGGAAAGATCAGATGAATCTCTCAGCAAAGGAAGCTCGAGTTCGCCCAAAGAAACCCGCCCCTCCCGCCTGGAGCTTCCCGCTCTGCGCGCCCTGCATGAGGGCCTCCCGCGCCTGTTTCCGGAGCGCCTCCAACTCGTCCACCTGGCCCATGGGATGTCATGGTCTCAATGGGAACCCAAAAATTATGAAACTCTGATTGATAGGGGCTGTTCCACACATTTTTGGGTGAGCATGATGACATTCACTCTTTTTTGGGGAGTACCACTGGGTTGATTTACAAAGGTTAGACACCCCCCCCCACCACCAGGAGGTCACTAGCCCGGGACTACATATAAAGAGGCAACCCGAGACAAAGCTTGCGGCATGACAAAGCTCACACAGCGCCCACTCTACAAGCTCTGATCATGTTGCTGGCCGTTCTGAGGGGGTGTGGGCGAGCGAGATCTCCCAGCAACCACCAAATCGCCGAACCCGCGAGTCCCTCGCGTCGAGGGATGCGCATTTGTCAAGCTAGAGAAACTTATTGGCCCACGGGGAGGAAACGAAAAAACCACTTGCATCCACCCAAACTGCCCAAAATTCCCAAACTTCCCACACCAAATTCCCCCCTCCTCCCAGGTCCCCCCACCCTTCCCACACCAAATTCCTTCCCCCCCCCCCACTTCCCCCCCCCCCTTCCCTCATTTCCCTCCCGCAGCTTCAGCTTCAGGCGCCAGCGTCAACCCCCGCGCCTGGGCACCCCGCTGGCCCAACACCTCCGCCAGCTTCCCGCTCTGCGCGCACATCAGCAGCGCGTCGCGGGCCTGGCGCCGGATCACCTGGCGGCGGGAGGATTGGGAGGAGGATGGAGCGCAGGTTCGCCGACTTTTTGGGCCAAGCGAAGCTAAAAGTAGGGTGGGGCTACCCATTGGTTTAAACTTGGTTAAACCACTGGTTATGATGATTCTCCCCTTGTAAAGGTGGTGTTTAAACCATATTTTCTCCCACCCAGGCTAAAAGGGATGTGGGTTAATGCCGAACGAAGGTTGGACGCTCACAGGTTGACTGAATGAAAACCATTCTGCTGCTTGATCCATGATCTTGCGATTGCAAAACAAGGGGGAGGTCTCGAAGAATACCGTTCGGATCAGCGCATGAGAAGACTCGGCATCTGAAGCTTGGCCATCTGAAGCTTGTGCAAGAAAGGGCCCCGCTTTGTGATCTCAGCTCCCTGTGTTTCGCTCTGGATGGGGGGTCATAGAGCCAAAACCCCTTTTGGAACAAGCCAAGCTGGCAAAACCAACCAGACGGCGCAGTGGCCGCTCCAGAGCCAAGTGCTAGTGGGAGCGCCGCTTTGGCTCTCGAGTCTAACCAAAAGTTTCGCCCACTGTGGAGGAAGCAAACCTGAGTGCAGAGTACACTCCTGTGGGGATTTCTGGGATCCGACTCGAGACACCACACCTCCAGGTCGTCTGGGTCGGTATCCTGCAAGCCCGTCCAGTCATGTAGTGTACCCTCCAATCCACATAGCGGCGGCGGCGGGACTCGAAAAACAGATGGCCCTCATCATTGGTACAAGCAATATGAGACTCGATGAACGTGCAGAAGCAACAGACACAGGAGAACTCCATTGCTGCGCATGGTCTGGTGTCGAATTGATAGCCTGCTTATTCCTCCAAACACAGCTGGTCTTGGAAAATCCAACTTCAAGCAGCCCAAAACTCAGGAAAGAGTCTTGAGATGCACCTTGCAACCAAATGCACGGTGCTCGGGCCAGCGTCCCCTTCCAAATCGGTGCTCCCCTAACAACTAGGTTTCAACATCTGTTTGAACATCCTCTCTTAATTTCCCCCGTAGGTTGGATCTGGTTCAATCCAACTCCCATGGCAAACGCTCCTTCTGGTTGAGCACCTCAAAGAGCTTCCCACTCTGCGCGCCCTCTAGCAAGGCGACCCGCGCCTGGCAGGACCAGAGGAGCTCGGGGAAGAAACATCCCGCTGTTTTTGTCTCTGGCTATCTGGGGTCTTTTCCTTTCCTTGGGGTTCTTTCATGTTCTTTCCCTTAAACCACCCCCCCCCCCCACAAAGGGATACAGAAACACACCCCATGTTTTGGTTTCTACTGGAAAGCAGTCGAAGTTGCTTGGCAAAAAGAGCAACCAAGGGCGGCAAGCCTCGCATCTCTCACAAGAAATACGCTGGCCCAGACCGAGGGCCGGAAGCTTGGACATCCGAAAAGGTTCCTTCCCAAAGATGCCAGCCTCCACCCTGGCCATGGGTCAACCAGGGTTACCCCCCAGTGAACATCAACCAATCCCCACTAAAATCGGTGCTAAAATGGGTGGTGAATTCACCTTCCCCAAAATGGGATCCCATTGGTCTTGACAACCACAGCCCCCGAACAAGCCGCGAATCAACACCTAAGCGCTGAAGACTCGGAGCTTCTCTGTTTCGCGCGGCTTAGCGACAAGCCGCGACGGGCGGCCAGATGCCGCGAGGTACACGGCCAGATGTTTTGGCGATTGGGCAAAATCCCACCCTACCCAAAATTCACAGTCAACTACCAATGTTTGTGTCAACTAGCCAGCGAAGTCCGAATTCATTTCACTGCCGCGTAATAATCCAAGACTCCAACTCAATGCATGAATCTCACTCCTCGGCTTTCCTCGTTCCACTCTTTTCGCGCCCAAGACCACCCCCTTCATTCCACTCCCTGCGGAAACCTTTCCACCCGCCGCAACCCTTCGCCTGTTGGCGCAGGAGCTCCACATCCTCCGGCTCCTTCCTTGGAACACGCGGCACGAGGGACCCTTGGTGCACGTGGGGATTTTAGGAACTTATTGCAAACGGAGAGAAAACGGAAAGGGAGCAAAGTCACACAGTGCTGGAAACCTGAAGGCTTTAAGCCCATGGGAAATAGAGCGGATATGCGCGAAAGCCGCGGTTCGGGACAGAGGGGGTCGTGCTCGTTGGGAAAATATTCCTTGATCAATACTTACACCCCAGAAACCGGACCATGCAAAATCTGACAGCCACGAAACAAAAAAGAAGCAAGGAGTGGCCGCGGTTTTCCTAAGACCTGTTTGAGCCCCTTTGAAAAAAGATCACACTGGCAAATGACTACAACCCAACTGACTTACCGGTTCATTTTGGCTGGCATCTGCAAAATGCAAAAAGGATGCCACTGCACTGTGCTGTGCTTCTTGATCAAGAACTCGCAGGGAAAGTTCAAAGCTGGGTCAAAACCCTAGCCCCCCTACCTGCAGAATCCCTTTTTCAACTGGACCAACTGAAAGGCGGGTTACCAAGAAAAGGGGGTCTCCGGCTGCTCCAAAAAGTGGTATCCGCATTGTTCGTGGAAACAAGGACCAAAACCCGCGCAACCCAGCTCTCTTTCCTCTTGAGCCACACCCCTTTTTCAACTGGACCAAACCAAATTGCTGGGTCGCCGGGCAAAACGGAGGGGGGGGGGCCAGGCCCACCGCAAAACCGGGGAGACCAAACCGCCAAGCGGCTCCGGCTCCTTCTTGCTGAGCAGCTCCACCAGGCGCCCTGACTGCACCCCCTCCAGCAGCGCGGCCCGCGCCTCTTGGCGCAGGGCCTCGAGCGAACGCCCAGCTCAGGGCACTCGGCTCCCGAGAAAGCGCAACCTCTGTGGCACCTCGATACCGTGGCTAGGTCCTCCAGTAGAGAGGTTACAACAAGGGTACCAACTCAGCCTATTTTAGTAGGGGAACCCTTCTTCAAAAAAGAGTAAAAGGGCACTGGGGGACCTAGTGCTCCAAAGTCTCTTCTTTGGGCTTTAGAAAGGGTGACGCCGGTGACCCTGCCAGGTTTGAATGGAATCCACAAATGTGGGTGTGTCTTTCTTTGAGGCTAGCCTTTTGGGCTTATCTGAAAGGAAAGCCAAGGATACCCTGCTAGATCCCGAGATCCAGGCTCTTCCACATGTGGGCCAAGCCGATTTTCCGGAATCCCTATTGACAAAAGAAAACCGGTTCCCTTCGCGTAACCGGATTCAGGATTGCCTTTAACCGTCCAGCCGAAAGCTAAACACCCACATGGCATAGATCCCTCACTCAAGTCGAAGAATATGTGGCTGGGAACCACCAAGTCTCTAAAATATGTGTGTATACACATACCTACATAGGCAAATACCTGTGCATAGGTTGCCAATAAATCTACATATCTGTGCATGGTGGTTCTTGTTGTACATTTGTTCGCGTTCACAATGATTTCAAGCCTGAGATTAGAGACAAAGTAAAGGACGTACTCCTGCCAGGTAAGCTCGCCCAAAAACGGTGTCTAATAGCATATACCTAGATAGATATATATATATATATGTGTGTAGCACCCTTTCTAGGGACAGGGGTAGGAACAACGGCAAGCCTGTTTTGCCCCGAATTCACTTCTCTTAGACTACTGTTCTTATATGATGTCATCTTAACTTAGTTTTTATGTATCGTCTTCATTTTCACTAATATATGTGTACACACACACAAACACGCGCGCGAACGAATTTGAGAGGTCCACACACAGACACACACTGGTCGCTGTGGCAAATTTTGACAGCCGATAGCCGATCAGGGCGGTTGGATTGGCAAGACACCTCCGTCTCGTCGACTTCTTTGGACTTGTCCTGCGGCTCTCGCGGAGTAACTACGAGCGCAACTGAACAAATTGTTCTGCAATTGCTAGTCTGTGGCTCCTTGACCCCACAACTTTGCCAAGCAAGTAGCCCCGGCTTGTAGCTTGACACCGAAATCAGACAAGTCACCCTTGGAAACCGTCAATCCCGGAGACATCTAGCCCTGGCAAGGACTCAAGATTACTTCGGATTGGGTTAAAGGATGTCCCAACAGGCATGTGCCACGAAATGCGCAACACAAGCAAAAAACCTCCGGAACTGGGAGTAGCTCCATCGGGTTTGCACGTCTCTGGCCTGGCTGCTCGGTGCAACAAATGAGGAGATAGGTGTTGAGCCCGGATTTCTTAAAGCCAAAGTGAACTTGTGTCAAACCTGAGACCTGTGAGTGTGCCCATTGTGTACTATAGCTAAAGGCTGAAGCCAAGATGTTGCAAATGTACCGAGGTGTAGAAGCACTGAAGCGTTGAGGGTAAATTTGAACACCCCCTCTTGCGTTCCACCGCCGGTACAAGCTAAACTTAGTTGAGCCAATGCGGAGATACTGTGCAACAGATCGTGTGGCTCGAGGTGCCAAAAGTGTGTTCGCCAAAGTATCACTCTATCTGTTTATGCCTCTTGTTGGCAACACTGCTGTGCCCAACAATGCACTTCTCCCAAATGTTGCAATGCGGTGTACCCAAGGGCATGTACTTACACGCCTCTTGCTCGCTCGGATGCCTTCTGCGCACCTGCGTTCGCCAAGTTTCTCCCGCACTCATGGATCTTCTTGAAACTGTGCTGGCAGCATGTGCCCTGTCCAGCTCATCGCGCATGTTGATGAAAGCTACGTGTCCAGAGGTACCCCTTCTGCAAGCTGGAGACCTTCCTCTGCAGCTGCACCAATTATTGGTACAGCTCTGGCTCTGCTAAGGAAAGTGCTGTTGTGGCCTGCGTTCTGCTTCCATAGTCGCTGTGGCTCCCAGGAAAGTCATCACAAATCCTGCATGGTCGTGAGCGTGGTCACGGTCGTTGTAGTCGTCGCGCTCACGGTCGTTGTTATGGCTGATGCTGCGGTTGCTGTTGCTGTTGCTGTTGCTCTTGCTGTCGCTGTGTTGTTGTTGCTGTTGTTGTTGGAGGTGGTGGTGGCGGCGGCGGTGGTGGTGGCGGCGGCGGTGGTGCTGGCGGTGTTGCGCGCGCGCGCCGTTGCTGTTGTTGGTCTTGTTGCTGTTGCACTGCCATTTCTTACTGCGTTTGCGCTGGAAAGGCCGCCAGATCTTGGCCAGGTATGTGTGCAGCCACTGCTCCGCGACGATGTTAAAACCAAAGTGAACTTGTGAACTGCGTCAAGCCTGTAACCTCTAAGCGTGGCCAAGGACACCGCCCCTCCCCTGTCCTTCCGCTCCTTGTCCTTTAAGATCTCCAGCAGCTGCCCGCTCTGCGCCCCCTCCAGCAGCGCCTGCCTGGCCTGCTCCCGCAGCGCCTCCAACTCGTTCAGCGCGGAAGGTGCCGAACCCTTCTGCAGCTTGGTAGCCAGCACCTGTCACGCAGCAAGAAAACAAGAACCGAAAGCCACGTTCCCAATCTTTCTGGGAACCCCCCTGTCTTGGTTTTAAGGGGAAACCAGAAGGGCGCCAACCATTTTGAAGGCGCAGTAAATTTGAGACACGCCCGTTTGGCCTGTGTCACAAACATCAGAAGCCTCCCCGATGTGTGCCGAGCGCAAAGCTCGGTTGTCATTTAACTGTTGAAAGATCAGCCCTAAAACAAAATCCTAAATTTGCAGTCAGCAACAACACCAAAAAAAACAAAAATGGTGCGAGGCGGCGCGTCGCGCACTGTCTTCGATGCTCAGATCCACAGGACAGTCACTTTTTGAATTTCCGCGCTGTGTTCCGCCAACTGGGAAGTTTCCCCGGCGAGATTTCTCCTCATTGAGTGCACATATCCTCGGCTGGGGCTTTGATGAACATGCAGTTAGAAGGCAACTCCAGCAGTTTTTCTCTGCTGTTGGCCTTACCCTTCCTTCTTTCCCTTGCCGGGCAAAGTACGGTGAAGAGCTAGTCTTCATTCAGGCAAAAACCGAATGTTCTACTTAAGGGCTTCCTCAAAGGTCACCATCCAAAGCCCCCATCCCCCGGAGCCCACCAGCTGCCTGCTCCAACTTCCCTGACTGGACGCCCTGCATCAATGCCTCTCTGGCCGCCAGCCGCAGGTCCGAGTGCTCGGCCTGCGATTGTGCCCCACAAAACACACGGAAGGTAGGGCAACAGGAGCCAACAGTTTAGCAGGGGTGAGTTACAATAGCTCACCCTCTGGTCAGGGTCCTGCAAACAAGAAGTCTCACGACGGGTGAGGTTGGGAATTCCAACAGGTGAGGTCCTAAACCCACCGTGCACGAGGCGGTTCTTTTGACCAGGTCCTGTTTTCTCTATTTTGCTCGCTGGTTCAACAACCAGAACTCTTGAAAAGAAGGGCTGCACAACCCTCGAGCATCCTGGACATTTCACTCTAGAGCAGGTTAGGTGGCAACGCCCGTTTTTTGGAGCGGGCGATGCGGGGGGCGGGAGGGCTTAAGGGGGATGCTGATGTTCGTGGTCACATGCTCCGCGTAAATACTTTATCAGCCTCCTCACCTCCCAAACAGAACGCCCGCTCAAGTGCACCCGTCTAGCACTGCATTCACGCCTGCTCAAATGATAACGCGCCTGCTCAAGCGCGCGCTCAGCACTACATCCATGCTTGCCAAATAAGCGCACACGCTCAAGCTCCACCCATGCTTGCCAAATGCCAAGGACCAGCACGCCCACGCAGCACTGTATCGCAACCTTTTGCTTTGAGTCGGCTCTGCGATCTGTGAACCAGTTTAGGCTCCTTTGCTGAGCGTGAAATGGAAACCAAACAAACCACTATGAAAAAAAAAAAAAAAACAAGAGCCCCCTGTCCGATTCTGATCCCTTCAAGACTCACAGTGACCCTGTTGCAACCGCCTCCCTCTCCGGATCGGCCCGCCTTGAGCTCAGGAGCGCCTGACAGCTCGGTCAAAATAAGTTGGAGTCCTGATCGGTGTCCTGTCCTTTCAGCTATCCAGAAACGGATTCCTGGCGCATGGTCTCCAATGCAAGTTTGCCATCAGGCAAGGCACAATCTGTGCGATTCAACCAACAGAAGAAGTAGAACATATGCTGTGGTCGTGGGCTTGTTTCTGACAGTGCTCGAACGCTCACTGCATCCTCCTCCCATCAGATCACAACACCTACCCAACACGTCTGAAGGCGCTTGATGTGGATGCGTTTCACTGACAACTACATGGCTGGATCGAAGAGCTTCAAAGTGGCTGAGAGGCGGCTGTTGCAACTTTACACGCCCAGAATTATTCCCTTCACAAAACCGGTCACGAGGAAACATTTAGGAGCTTATGTGTGTTCGTGAACATTCAGCCGAGATCAAACAGCCGCAAAGTCCTGCTGTGTTGACAGCTAATAGCTGTCTGTCGACTTCTCATCAGGGTTGCTTTGGTGGCTGTGGTTGTAAAAACTTTCATTTGGTACCATGGTCAAAACACCTGATCACTCCTTAGCGTAACGATGCACATATGAAAATGGTGTGTCACGGGGGCATCAGGGTGATCAAGGCATCCACGCCGCGTATCTGGAAAGATGACACCACGACACGTGGGTCCTTAAGAAGATAGGAGACTCTTTGGTCTCAAGAGAAGAAAACCAAAAGATGCAGCATGCCAGCAAACTAACGTCGCTTTGCTACTCTTTTTCTCTATCTCCTTCTCTCTCTCTCTCTCTCTGTCTCTCTCTCTCTCTCTCTCTCTCTGTCTCTCTCTGCCTCTCTCACTCTCTCTCTCTCTCTCTCTCTCCCTTTCTCTCTCTTTTTCTCTTTCTCTCTGTGTGTGTCTCTCTCTCTCTCTCTCTCGCTCTTTCTCGCTCTCTCTTCCTTCTTGCCAACAACAGCTCACATTCCTCCAATCACCTCCTTCCTCAGGGGTCATTGTCTTGCTCACGCTAACATATTTAAGTTGGAAACCATCTCAAGTGGCAACCACCTAAAGTGGCCACGACACTGCGAAGGTGGATCTTTCCAACTACTGACTTATTGTCCGTTGTCCCTAAAATATCTTCATAAGTCCAATTGCCTCCGCCCTCAGCCTCTTTGGGGTAGAACAGGTCTGGCTCCAGAAAACAGGCTGGGCCGATCAAAACGCGGCTGCATATCCCAACATCCAAAAAAAAACAAAAACACTCCCCCCCCTCCCCCCCCTTCCACCGCCTTCCGCGGGCGCGACGGGGTCCACCTCCTGGGGCGCCCTCGGGGGCTCCTCCAGAGCCGCCAGCTGCACCTGACCGAGCTCCGCCGGCGCCTCCGGAGGCTCCTCAGGGGCCGCCTGGAAGAGACGAGCTGGGAGAAACGGAGGAAAGGGAGCTGGGGTGAACATGGGGTGAACATGGGGTGAACATCGGGTCAAAATTGGGGTGGGGAAATGGGGCCAAAATGGGGTGGCTGGGGTGAATGGGGTGAAAAATGGGGTGAAGGGGGTGAAAATCGGGTGAAATCGGGGTGAACACGGGGTGAAAATGATGTGAAACTGGGGTGAATAGGGTGAATCAATGGAATTCAGCGGGATGGAGTCAGGGGTTCATGAAGTTCATGGGGAAATACTTCGGGACAGCAGGTTTGCTTCATGGGATTGACGAGGAACTCAACCCGGAAGTGTGAGACACAAAACAAGTAGACCTGCTTTGCATAACAATGTGGTCCTAGAGGTTTTAGCACGACAACCATGACACCGCTTCCCACCCTAAGGGGTCACTCGGACCAAATTACCAGTGCCGTGGTTGCGCCTTTGTTTGAGGAAGCGGGAGCAACGCATTTTGAGACATGGTGAAGTAACTGATTTGGAGGCTGTAGGGCATTGTGGCAGCTTCAGGCCTTCGGGGAAAGCACGTGTGATGGGTGATTTGCATGGACAGTGGCTGGAGCTCATTAAATGGAAGTTTGTAGGCCACCCAGGCATTTTTGAGTATGGCTAGACTAGATACTGTCCAGGGCAAGGTCCTCGTGCTCTCGCTCTCTCGCGCACGCACACACTATACGTGGGCTGTGGGATTTATGGGCGTTGAAATGCATTCCAACATGGACAATGCCAAGCATTCGAAGTCTCGATGGGTTTCCGGGATTTCCTGCAAAGATCGACCTGTAGCAAATGCGGGCCAAACCAAATGTTTACGGAGCGGGATGGTTCCGGAAGATCAAAGATTCAGGTTGGATGGGCGAATTTGAGCTCAATGGCATAGCACCTCCAGGTCTGGTGAACATCCAGAAGATGCCCAAGACTTTTTGCTCGCAAAAGGTCCGGGCTTGAAACATCCCCAGCAAGCCAGCTCCCTCCCACCAACGGAAGAAACACAGACCGCGTTTGGAAGATGTTCCTCTTGGAAATGCCCGACCTCCCAGTCTGGCACGCATATTCGATTCCGCCTGCTTCTCGGGGGGTGCCTGAGGTGGCTCCTCCAACGGCGACCCCTTGGCCTCCTCGAGTACTTCCTCGGGGGCAAGGAGCCGTGTTGCAACCTGCTTTTCGGATTGGCGTGGAAGCAGAGGAAAAGGACGCCCGAAAAGGACCCCACCCCCTTTTTGGGTTCCACGTCAATGTCTGGACATGCGAAATGGACGCAGACCCCCCGAGTCTGCAGCATGGAGCCCCTTTGTGACGACCCTCGAATGCAACAGGTTTGTCTCAGGAGGCAAGCTCCTATGAAACTATGGCCTTCAAGACAGCCTGCTTGCGACTGCTTGCAAGCTGACATCCCAGGCACCAAGCCTCCAGCCAGCCGCACCTTCCTTCGCCGCCCCTGCTCCCTCCCCTCGTCCCAGTCCGAGCAGCGAAGAGCTTTCCCGATTGGGCGCTTTGCCACAGCAGGGCGGCCGCCTGCTTCCGCAAAGACTCAACACCTTCGCCTGAGCCGGTGCCAGAACCGTACCCGGCTACCACAGAGGCCCGGGTTTCCATCTCGTGTTTTGGGCGCCCAAGGAAAGGCTGACAGCCGACGACTCAGGCCAACCAGTTTTCTAACCTGATCTATTAGACATAGGCAAGGACGAGTAATCCTGCATTCAGGCTCAAGAAGAGAAGGAGTGGGTGTCCCCCCCAATGGTGGTCTTCCCCACAGATGATAAGAATGGCAATCGGAGTTCTGGGTATACAACACCCCGAGTCGGCCGAGCAGTCCGACCGTCCCTCGGACTGGGTGCCCAAGCTCGAAGGGCTGTCCTGCACGCTTGCTCTGAATTTAGATTCCTAAGAGAATGGGAAAGGAATGGCCGTCCTTTTGCCGTTTTCAACTCTGCATAATCTATGGGGATGAAAGGGTAGGAAGAAGAGATGGGAAAGCTGGCCGTCATTCCTTCTCACAGCCACCTTTCACTATCTTGTCTCTCTCTCTCTCTCTCTCTCTTCATTCGTCAGACCACTTCTCCACATAAGCCTTTCACATTCTGGGGATGCGAGGAGGGTGGCATTAGGGCTGTCACTGTACGTCCCCTTTCTGTTCTCCTGGGGCAGCATCACAACAACAAGCAATCATTGTTGCGCTGCCCGCATTGGGAGCTCAGGATAGTGAATCCCTGGTTTAATTTATGGGGGTACCCAAAGCATGCCCCAAAGGCCAGGCAAAAGTGTGTGTGTGTGTGTGTGCGTGTGCATCACCTGGTTTGTGTGGAGAAACTGGCCAATGGACCATCTCGCGGATATCTTCACCGCTGCCGGCGGCATTTTTGGAGATCCCTGAGGCGCTCGATCCTGGCCCTTCCGGTTCTTCGGGCTGCCGCCTTCGCGCAGCACCTGAAAACGGCCGGCTCGGGGCACCGAAGGACCGAAGGACCGAAGGTCATGATGTATAAACCCTCAGCGCCTTGTGTCGAATACTCGGTGAACTGTTGGTGGTTTTGTGAGGGCTCAGTTCGACATTCGCACGTCAAGGTCCTCTCCAAATGCCCAGATACCTGGCTTTTGGCTGGCACTCTTGGAGTTGTCAACATCCTTCTTCAAGGGGACATATCCACTTGTCAGGAACAGTGCCCCACGAGCGCGTGTCGAGACACGGGCAAAGCCACCAATTTGGCGGCTATGTACCGTCTTAGGGCAGCTTCAATCAGCCCTTTGGGGCAACTAAGTCTGACGGTACTTAGACGATGTCTGGGATTCAGAAAAGGATGGGGAATATGACAGGTGTGAATCTCAGATCCCTCCAAATCCTCATGCAACGAATCTGCATCTGTGTGCTCCTTCCAGCGGCAAAACCACTCAACACACGATGTTTGTTGCCAAGGAGGCAGGGCTCGATTTAGGCACGTGGCATTGCAACCAAAACGCTTCAACAGCACGCTGCCTTGCAGGTTGGCACCTACCATGTTGGGTAAAAGCCTCGACAGTATCTAATCTGCATTTTGTAGAGGCGTCAGAATGCTGCCTGCCATTCCCTTCCCCTTCCATCCCCTCATGCCCAGCACTTTTCAGGACTTTGCTGGATCCTACCCGAGAACTCCCCTATGCATGCTGGATTGAAGAAAACCAACCGGCTCCTCGGGAAGACACCAAAGGAAGGGAATTCCAGAGGCACCGCAACAAAAGAAGACAATTACACATGTATGTATATATATATATATGAAGAAGAAAAAAACGCTAACAAAAACATAAAAAATGAAGATTTGGTGTCAGACTCTGATTCGTCAATCTTGCAGAGAAAAGGCGGGGGCACTACTGGGTTGGTTTTCCGCTAGTAGGGAAGTACTCATTCTCCCAGAGGTCACATTTCGTCCTGTGCGCACAGAGGTCAGAAGGGGAAAAGGTCACAGTTTTAGGGCAACCGAGACTGTTCCCGGATTCCACCCCCATCTCGGCTCGATTCCGCCTCCAGCAACTTCCCAGAGCGCGCTCCTTGCAGCAACGCGTCCCTCGCCGTCTGCCGCATGTCCTCCACTGAGGCCTCGGTCGCGCTTGCCGAGGTCCACTTGGCTGTGGGTCGAGAACGGGTATCCCATATGGAACCCTGATAAATGAAACCAAGGACTAAAACCTGCAGTCTAGTGGTTTGATTTTGGCCCATACATCCAAAGAAAGCACATTGAGGTCCTCACGAAACGGAAGGACCCCCGTCAACTCCCAACTGGAATACCCCCGAAACAAAAGGGAACAAAATCGCTAGCTGTCTGCCCTTTAGGAATCATGGCAAGCTCTTGACCCGTTGACAAGTCGCACACAGGCCTGACAGGAGCGAAGGACTGGCGCTTCTCCACACTTGATGGCATGAAAAAAGAATAAACTTTCATCGATTTCCAACAACGAGCCGACCACAGCACCGCGCACCCCTTCTCCTCAAAGGGGGAGGCGTACGGGAAGGGCGGTTACAAGTCCAAGGCTGGCTGGTAAATGAGCATAACCGAAAATTCAACATCATCATCATCATCATCATCATCATCATCATCATCATCATCATCATCGGCGTGGTGGTCGTCGCCGCTGTCCTTATCTTGATTATCATGATGACTGCTGGTGATGCTGAGGATGCGTCATGATGATTATCATGTCAGTCATCATCATCATCATCATCATCATCATCATCATCATCACGGTGCTCATCATCATCAGCTTCTTCGTCATCGTCCTTATCTTTTTTTATATACGTTTCAAGTGTCCCGTTCGACCCGATTCGAGATGCAGAAGATGCGCGGACATGATTATCATGATGACTGCTGGTGATGCTGAGGATGCGTCATGATGATTATCATGTCAGTTCATCATCATCATCATCAGCATCATCATCACGGTGCTCATCATCATCATCTTCTTCGTCATCGTCCTTATCTTTTTTATATACGTTTCAAGTGTCCCGTTAGACCCGATTGGAGATGCAGAAGATGCGTGGACATGATTGTCATGATGACTGCTGGTGATGCTGAGGATGCGTCATGATGATTATCATGTCAATTCATCATCATCATCATCATCAGCATCATCACGGTGCTTATCATCATCATCATCATCATCATCATCCTCATCCTGATCATCACTATCATGATGGTTATTATCATCTCTTATTAGCCGGCACTGGTGATGCCGAGGATGTCATCATCATGTCTTATTAGGCAGCACTGGTGATGCAAAGGGTGTTACGATGATAGTTATCATCATAATCATCATCATGATCATCCTTATTATGATGTCATCGCTCTTCTCATCATCATCATGATGATCATCATCATCTCATTCTCATTCTTATATGCATTTCAAAAGTAACGTTAGACCCCATTGGCAATGCAGAGGATGCTACGACGATACTTATCATCACAGTCCTCATCCTTATCATCACTATCATCATGGTTATTATCATCTCTTATTAGCCGGCACTGGTGATGCCGAGGATGTCATGATCATCTCTTATTAGGCAGCACTGGTGATGCAAAGGGTGTTACGATGATAGTTATCATCATAATCATCATCATGATCAACCTTATTATGATGTCATCGCTCTTCTCATCATCATCATGATGATCATCATCATCTCATTCTTGTTCTTACTCTTATATGCATTTCAAAAGTAACGTTAGACCCCCTTGGCAATGCAGAGGATGCTACGACGATACTTAGCCGGCACTGGTGATGCCGAGGATGTCATCATCATCTCTTATTAGGTAGCACTGGTGATGCAAAGGGTGTTACGATGATAGTTATCATCATAATCATCATCATGATCATCCTTATTATGATGTCATCGCTCTTCTCATCATCATCATGATAATCATCATCATCTCATTCTTGTTCTTATTCTTATTCTTATTCTAAGATGCATTTCAAAAGTAACGTTAGACCCCATTGGTAATGCAGAGGATGCTACGATGATAGTTATCATCACAGTCCTCATCCTTATCATCACTATCATCATGGTCATCATCATCTCTTTTTAGCCGGCACTGATGATGCCGAGGATGCTACGATGATAGTTGTCATCACAGTCCAGCACTGGTGATGCAAAGGGTGTTACGATGATAGTTATCATCATAATCATCATCATGATCATCCTTATTATGATGTCATCGCTCTTCTCATCATCATCATGATGCTCATCATCATCTCATTCTTGTTCAAGGGCTGCCGCCCAGTGCCGCCGACCCCTGGATTTAGTTGTGGTTTTCGAGCAACCAAAAACACTGCCCTTGGTTTTGGTTTCTTTGGTTTCTTGCGAATGATGCGTAGTGATGATTATCATCAAGGCAGGACTCCAAATCTCAATGACCCAAATGGCATCTGAGGCGAGGTGCCGTTTCGACAGTGATGCGTAGTCATGATTATGATCATCGCTGCTGGAGATGCTGGGGATGCGTAGTGATGATTATCCTCATGATTGCCACAGATGCTGCGAATGATGCGTAGTGATGATTATCATCAAGGCAGGACTCCAAATTCTCAATGACACAAATGGCATCTGAGGCGAGGTGCCGTTTCGATAGTGATGCGTAGTCGCTAGGCACCCTTGGTAATGCAGAGGATGCTACGATGATAGTGATCATGACAGGGATCATTTGTTGCCCAGCAAGTCACAGTCCCTGTTCGTGTCTTCAAAAATGCAAACAAAACCCTGAAATACAAGATTAGCCTTTTGGGGCCACTAACATTTCACCCAAAAGAAACCAAAGAAACCAAAACCAAGGGCACTGTTTTTGTGGCTCCAAAACCACAACTAAATCCAGGGGTCGGCGGCACTGGGCGGCAGCCCTTAAATCCGGCCACCGGACGTGATCGGGCCGCAGGCCACAGCCCGTTAGGGCTTACCTTCAGGTATAAGGCCGCGCGCCCCATGCCGCCGACCATGAGCGGACCATGTACATACGTTTTGCGCTGGGCCTTCCTTATAAGGGGCGAAGGATTCGCGGATTGGTTTAGGCGATTTTTGTAGCATCTCCCCGCAGCGCCAAAAAACGAGCATTTTTAGGGGGTGCCTAATACTGGACAACACCCCCAGCATTGCCAGCATCATCCCGGATGATGCGGATGATGCTATGCATGCTGGCGATGCGAAACAAGGGGCTTAGGGGAAATGCAAGGGAACAGGAGTGACTGGAAGTGAACGACATGCAAGTCAAAGGAATTGCACGAAAATGAAGAGGCACTGGAGAGAAACCGAGCTGCAGGAAAATGCAAGGGACAGCGGGAACGAAAAGGGAAAGGAATGCGAATGAAGGAGTCTTCAAGGAAATGAAGGGAGCTGAAACGGCAGTGAAGTGGAAGGAAGTGAAGGGACATGCCAGGAAACTGTCATGGAAGACATGCAAAGGAAGTAAAGTTCGAATCACCCCGAGAACTAGCAGAACTTAGAGGGAAAGGAGATGCAAGAACGGGAAGGGGTGCCCGGTGGCCGGCTGTGTCGCGTCAGCGTGTAAATCCGGCCACCGGACGTGATCGGGCCGCAGGCCAAAGCCCGTTAGGGCTTACCTTCGGGTATAAGGCCGCGCGCCCCATGCCGCCGACCATGCGCAGAACATGCGCAGAACATGCGCATACGTTTTATGCTAGGCCCTCCCTTATAAGGGGCGAAGGATTTGCGGATTGGTTTAGGCGATTTCCGAGGATTTTTGTAGCATCTCCCCGCAGCGTCCAAAAACGAGTCCAAAAACGAGTATTTTTAGGGGGTGCCTAATACTGGACTACACCCCCAGCATTGCCAGCATCATCCCGGATGATGCGGATGATGCTATGCATGCTGGCGATGCGGGTGATGCTGGGGACCCTAAGTCGGGCCAATGTTGCCGAAAACGTGCAACCTGAAAATCTTAAAATCTGAAGTGGATGGAAAATGGCCTGGATTGAACTTAGATTCTTAAAATCTTAAATTAAAATCTAACAATCAATCTTAGAATCTCAAGATCTTAAAATCTTAGAACTTAGAATCTTAAAATCTGAAAATATAAAAACTTCCTAAAGTCTTCGAATCTTGAAACCTTAAAAACCTTATGTCTTAGAATCTTGAGATCTTAAACTCTTAAAATATGAAATTCCTAAAGTCTTACAATCTTAAAATCTCAGAATCTTAAAAAGCTTTAAAAACTTAAATTCTGTAAACCTCGAACAATTGAAATGTGAAAATCTTAACTTATTACAACATTACATTCCTTCAATCCGGGCTATATTTTAACTTCCTTAAACTCTTAATCTTGAATTTTTGAAATCTTGAAACTTTAAGATCTTAAAATTACAACCTTAGAAGATAGAATCTTGCAACCTGAAAATATAAACATCCTCAAGTCTTCGAATCTTGACTTCTTAAAACCCTCATGTCGTTGAATCGTCAGATGTTAAAATCTTAAAATATGAAATGCCTAACTTCTCAAAGTCTTAAAATCTCAGAATCTGAAAAGCTTTCCAAACTTAGGTTCTTTAAATCTCGAACTATTGCACTCTGAAAGTCTTAAATTCATAAACAAGTAAAATATAGTATAATTCCTTCAATCCGGGCTATAATTTAAATTCCTTAAACTCTTAATCTTGAAATTTTGAAGCTTAAAATCTTAGCTTCCGAAAGTCGCCAAATCTGAAAATCTCAAAAAAATAAAACCTTAAAGCCTTCGAAATCTGATAATGGATGGAAAATGGCTGTGCAATGGCCTGGCTGTTATAACCTTCAAAAACCTTAAATCTTTGAATCTTAGAACTTTAATTCTTAAACCATTGAAACCTTAAATTCCGAAAGTCTTCAAATCTGAGACCCTTAGAATCTCAAAGTTTTTAGACTTTTTAAATCTTAACATCTACTCATCGGACTTACAGGAAAGGGAAGTGACAGAAACCCTCATGTCTTTGAATCTTCAGATGTTAAAATCTTAAAATATGAAACTCCTAAATTCTCAAACTCTTAAAATCAGAATCTTAAAAGCTTCAAAAACTTAAACTCTTTAAATCTCGAGCTATTGCAATCTGAAAATCTTAAATTCATAAACAAGTAAAATATAGTAAAATTCCTTCAATCCGGGCTATATTCTAAATTCCTTAAACTCTTAATCTTGAAATTTTGAAGTCTTGACATCTTAAGATCTTAAAATCTTAAATTCCGAAAGTCGCCCAATCTGAAAATCTCACAAAAAAAATCTTAAAGCCTTCGAAATCTGATAATGGATGGAAAATGGCTGGGCAATGGCCTGGCTGTTATAACCTTCAAAACCTTAAATCTTTGAATCTTAAAACCTTGATTCTTAAACCATTGAAACCTTGAATTCCAAAAGTCTTGAAATCTGAGACCCTTAGAATCTCACAGTCTTTAGAATTTTTAAATCTTAACATCTACTCATCGGACTTACCGGAAAGGGAAGTGACAGAACGGGCAGGGCAAGGTGCCCGGTGGCCGGCTGTGGCGCGTCAGCGTGTAAATCCGGCCACCGGACGTGATCGGGCCGCAGGCCAAAGCCCGGTAGGGCTTACCTTCAGGTATAAGGCCGCGCGCCCCATGCCGCCGACCATGCGCAGAACATGCGCCGACCATGCTCCGACCATGCGCATACGTTTTGCGCTGGGCCCACCCTTATAAGGGGCGAAGGATTTGCGGATTGGCTTAGGCGATTTCCGCGGATTTTTGTAGCATCTCCCCGCAGCGCCCAAAAACAAGTCCAAAAACGAGTATTTTTAGGGGGTGCCTAATACTGGACAACACCCCCAGCATTGCCAGCATCATCCCGGACGATGCGGATGATGTTATGCATGCTGGCGATGCGAAACAAGGGCCTGAAAATTGCAGAATGCAAGGAAACTGGAATGACTGGAAGAGAGCGAAATGGTAGTCACAGGAATTGCACGAACACGACGAACATGAAGAGCTGGAGAGAAACCAAAATGCAGGAAAACAGAACGCGAAGGGAAGCGGAGGACGGGAACGAAAATAAATTGTTGCAAATTATGGGAAACGAAGAGTAACTGAAGAGAACTGAAGGGACGTGCAGGAAACTGACGTGGAATGGGAGGCGGACTGAAACCGGAAACTAAAAAGAACAGAGGGAAGGAATGCGACTGACACGGCGCTCAAGGAAATGCACGGAGCTCAAACAGACAGGACGTGAAGGGAAATGCCAGGAAACTGTCGAGGATACAGGAAAGACACGCAAAGGAAGTGAGGTTCGCATCTTGGGAACTAATCGGAATTAGAAGAAAAGGAAGTGACAGGCAGGGCAGGGTGCCCGGTGGCCGGCTGTGTCGCGTCAGCGTGTAAATATGAGAAGCACAGATGGACACAGCACCGTTTCCTTCCCAACAAAGGAGCATCTCTCTACCTTTCTAGGGCTCCAGGGGTTGATTCCGCTCTTGCAACCATTGTTCTTTCAAACAGCAGCCGTTGTTGTCTGCACTGGTTGCCCCCTATTCTTGGTTGCAAGGCCGGAGAAACAAATGAAAAACATCGCCAGACCAAACAAAACAACATGGAAGTTGGGTCCCAAAAAAAGGACCCAATTGGTTTCTACCGCTCAAACCCATGTCCTGTCAGCAAGAAAGAAGTTCTTGTGTTCAGTTCCAGGCGCCAACCTTAACAGAAGCCGGAAAACATGCAGCCTGTCCAAGGTTCTGTGGAGCCTAAGGGATTTGTCTGTAAACATTACAGTACCTCTGGATAGTCTGGATAGTGGCAAATGATGAACTGAATCAGTTCAACATATGATGCTTAGGAGTTAAAGGCGGGGCGTGTAGCAAACCCTCCATGGGGTTAGAAATCCTTTGCTTGGTGCTCCAGTGCGGTTGGCCCTTGAGCGAGTCGCCGGCCTGGTGGGGTTGAAAAACAGTTTGGGTTGGATGGAGGCGTCCCTCCTTGCGTGTTGCAAGTAAACAGTGAAACAAAAGTCGTCTTGCGCCTCACAGGCGATTTGCCCTGTGGCGAGCAGTTTTCAGACCAGGTCCCCTTGTATCCCTTGTTTTGCTTGGCCCTGTTCATGGCAAACTATCACAGTGACTCCTTTGTCGAGCCTACCAAGCGGCCGATTACCAACGGCCCAGATAGAAATAACGTAAGCTTGCGGCATGCGAATTCAGCTCACTCTACTTAGCTAGAACTTACGGGGCCCTTTTTCGAGTGCGCTTCATATCTCTCAGAACGACGCGCAGCGGCGGAGAAAACAAATCGCCGCTTGGGACGACCTTCGCGCTTTGAGGTTATGGGTTGTCCGCGCTGCCAACTGCCAACTTGCTGTTGCCCAGCATTCTAATCTTCGAGGCTGTTGGCAGCGCTTGCGCAAACGAGACATGGCACGATATGGCGGGCGCCACAAAAATCTGGCCACGCAGGCATCGGAACCCTTAAAAGTCGGCGCAACATCACCGGGGGTCTCCGTAATTGAAAAAACACACACACAGAGACCTCCCGCCCCAACTCCCCGCGCCTCCACTTCCTTGGCTTTGGCGGAGAACTGCTGGGCCACCTCAGATCAGCGACTGACACAAACATGCATAGGGTTGCGCACGCATGCATGTATGTGGGCATGCGTACATATATACCTGTGTATGTGTATATATATTTATATATAGATATATATATATATATATATGTTTTGTCACCCATTATCCATTGATCTATTTGCGTGTTCATCGATGGTGCGTAAATCTGCTCGCCTACATATCTATATATGTCTAGATGAAAAACAAAATGCATTGACTGTTGTATCTATCTATCTATCTATCTATCTATCTATCTATCTATCTATCTATCTATCTATCTATCTATCTATCTATCTATCTATCTATCTATCTATCTATCTATCTATCTACTATCTATCTATCTATCTATCTATCTATCTATCTATCTATCTATCTATCTATCTATCTATCTATCTATCTATCTATCTATCTATCTATCTATCTATTTTTTGAATACATGCGCACATTAGCATTCCGAAGGCCAGGTCCTGACTTCAGATATGCAACAAACTGGTGATCCTAAGCCTCCCTTCCCCAGGGACGTTTAGCTATCCCCGAGACAGCCTCCCTACCGTTGAGGTAGCCTGGTAATTCTGCCGGCTCATGAGACAGGAAGGGTGAAAAGTCAATTGAAACAGCCTCCGAACAAAAGAGTGGCAATCTCTCTGTAAATGAGAAGCAATGCTACCTACCTGTTTTCTTGTTGTTTGTGTAATGTCTGCATCTCTTTGGTGTTTGAAAGCATGTTCCTTGCTGTACGAAGCTCAACCAAAAGCATGTGTCACTTGCAAAAGAGAAGATCCCTCCCCACATCCCATATCCTAGATCATATCAGTCACAAATGCATATGTTTCTGTGAGCCTGTACTGCCTCCATGTAGAGGCTGGGCATGCTTTGCACACATCCAGTGGTCACGTGAAGCGGAACAAGCGCAGTCAAACAAGCAATGGACCGCCCCATTTGCGAGCTTTGCAAAAGGAAGCTTCAACACAAAATCAAGAAAACCAACACAACAGGGGAAACTCAACTGGGGCAACCGCAAAATGGGCTTAGGTCCCTCCTCTCTGGGATTGCCCTCCAAACATGCAAGGTTCCCAACATGTCCCTTACATCACCCTGGCCCAAAGAGGTAATGCACCACAGGAGCATGAGCCCTGAACGACCCACAAGTCTCCCGGCATAGCTGTAGGGATCTTCCGGCCTGGCGCAGCCGGCTCCGGTGTGATGGCAGAAGACGGGAAGCTGTTTTTGGGCTGTGCCCCAAAAGTAAAGCCCGTCCCCAAAACTTGACGCTTTTCGGCGCTCCGTGTCAGGCTGCAGGAGAGTAACATCCAAAACAGCAAGGGTTGATAAAAACTGGTGAACATGACAAACATACCCCGCCTGTCTTTGATCACGCCCAGCAGCAGGCCATGGAGAAATGATTGCACCTCGAGGAAATGATCTTTCTGCCAGATAGGCTTCCCCCAGCTTTGGGTGCCTTGATGTTAGGGAGCAAAAACGTCGTGCCAAATACCTCTGTTGACGTGGACAGGACCTCAGCACTGCTCACCCGACAGCTTGGATCCTCTTCCCGGATGACTTCGCCCAACATGTTCGGGTGCCATTTCAGTATGAATTTCCAGTAGGGACCCTTTGGTATTTAGGTGGGGATTTATGTCCACCAATCACTTTTCAGGGGGTACCTCCTTAAAATTCATAGCCATTTGCAGCAGCCGACTTGAAGGGGGCCCAGGGGCCTGAAGCTGGGGATTCTGGCAAGCAGGCCCCGAGTTCCAAGCGGAATCGGCTGGCCCAAATCGGCTCAAAGATCAGGCGACTCAAATTCAGGACCCCGCGCGAGGAAGACCAATGGAAACCCACCCAGCAAGATAGCACAGGTTGGGGTAGCACCAGCCTTGGCAATCCTCACAGAATTCACAAGATGGCTGCCAAACACCCCTCACCAGAGTTCAGCCACCAAACCACCCGTCAATACCGGCACACTTTTGAACCTGAACATTGTCCGTTCCCCTGCCCACTCACCTCCAGAGGAGGAAATCCACGGCACCCACCCATCCCGGCCAGAAACACCAGCTTAACTCCAGTTTAACCCCGGTTTCAACCCCGGCTTAACCCCAGTTTTACCCCGGTTTCAACCCCGGAAACCCAACCCCAATCCAACTCCTTCCGAGCGGCCCCGTGCCGGGCCAGGTACTCCTCCGCGCTGCCGGCCAAGGCCTGCTTCTTGGCGGCCAGGGACTCCTTGGACCTAAGGCCCATGATCCGTGGGGTCAACCGCCCCCCCAAAAAAAAATCCCAAACGCTCTGGTGTCCTTTAAGGGAAAAAAGATGGTTCGGGCCAACCGTCCCCGATTTGATTTTTGTTGTAAGTTCTGTGCTTCCTTTCTGTGGGAATCACAAACCGAACGCTTCATTCCCAACACCCGGAACGGTCATTCCCCACAGCACCGGCAAGAGGGATGTGCTCGAAGACATCTGGGCCCTCCCCGTCTCCCAGGCTGCGCAGGGTCCAAAAAAGGCGTAGGTCCCGCTTTTGGGTGGGAGGGCAACGGCGTCCCATGTGATCTAAAAGGGTCCTCAGTTTTGTTTGGCGTTCTTCAAATGTCCTGGTCCGCAAAAGTCTTGGAACAGAAGTTGGTCTCCGGAAATAAGCATCACGCGGGGGAAAATCAAGGCTTTAAGGACAAACGCTGCCCTCATATGTCTGGTACATCGGTTAGGGTCAACTTGCCCAACCTCACGCAAGGCTTTGTCATGAAGTTCCAACCGTAGTCATCATATCTTGGTTGCAGAAACAACCACATAGAAAGAAATGGAGGCCATCCAATCCATTTGCGCGCTTGTAGAGTGATTGCCTTTGCTTGACTTCAAGGGAAGCCAAAAAAAAACGTCCGCCCTCTGACACATGCCTAAATGAAACAACAATTCATTTCGAGCTCAGATGCAACAATGCGTGTTTCAAGAATACCCTTGTTCACCTCCAATGTGCGAAGGAAAAAAAAAACTATCCATATGGATCATCCACAGGTTACAGGAATCCTCTTGACTCCGGGCCCTCTGGACAAGAAAAGGGCCGGTCAGCTCAAAACGGCTCCACCGACAAAGGCACAACGGGGGCCCCTGCAAAGCCTGGTCGCCTGCCAACTGAGAGCCATCTTCGTGAGGGATGCTTCAAGCAAGTTTGCAAAAAATGGTCTCTCACCAACCTGTTCTCAGGGCTGCTTGTGCTTCAGTTCTGGCGATGCTTGGTAGGGTCCCTGCAGAGAGCCACTGCCATGCTTCTTAATAGTTTGCCAGATCGGTTCATTTCGAAGTCACTGCTGGTCAAGAAATTGGGAGGGCTTGGCCGTTCCCCAGCAACACCGCCAACTCCAGTGATGCACATGTTCTTTGAGCGTTCCTGAGTGGGCAAAAACTGTTGGACTGTAAATCAAGGGCGGTACAAGCGCTTTCACGGCTTCAAGCCGACCTTTCATGTTGTGGAACTGCTGCATGACAGGACACCGCAGTTGCATCTCAATCGAGCGTGCCATCGCAGTTTAAGTGTGCCACGCAAAGCTTGTGAATCATTTTGCTCGGACAACTTTGCTGGGAGCTCTCATTTCACAAACTGCCCAGCAAGGCTGGTCTGAAAGTGGCACAAATGTCTGCTCTCAGGATTGCAGCAAAAGGCTTCCAGTGGCAGCAGGCTACAGGACTCGCCACCAACGGACTCGTTATTGAAAGATAGACTTGGTACAGGGAGTGGTGCCGCTGTCCACCAATCCCGTCGCATGGCTTGTGGGCATGTGGGCTTGTGGGCTTGTGGGCTTGTGGGCTTGGTGTGCGATGGCAACAAACTCACACTGATGGTCGGGCCCGGGGACGACAACCAACAATTTGCTGAAAAGACGAACGCGTTCTTTTTGCCCCCTTGGATGCCTGCACCTATGGTTCCTCCTTTCCGAAAGAAACTTGGGTGCGCCTGAAGCACTGCGCACCAGCAGGGCGACCTGGCAGAGTTTGCCCCGTAGGCGTTGTGACTTCACTTTCCAAGCCACCCCCCCAAGTGGCACCTTAAAAAGAAGCAACCCTGCAGGTTGAAAGAAACAATCCCAGCAACTTTGACAGACCCTGGAAACGGTCAAATGGGCTCAGCCTGTGGAAAGAGAGGTGTCTAACTTCAAGTGGAAAACTGCCGAGTCATGGGGGAATGTTTCGTTTAGTCAGGCGCGACTTAGGCGGATCGGTTTGGACAGTAACATGTGGTTTGCGTTCAACCTGTGTGGTTTTGGATAATAAGACAGAAAGCAATCCTCCCGTGGTTTGCGTTCAGCCTGTGGGGCATTGCACCAAACACCCGCCTCGGCATCTTCGGCCGGCGCCGCCTCTGCCTGGCTACGAGCCATGCCTAGTTGGGCGTTCTCTGTCTCAACTGTTGAAAAAATTGATTAGGACTATGCCCTGTTGTCAAATGCTCTTGTTTTCATTGGTTGCTTCCTATTCAGTCACCGGAAAAAATGGTAACATGTATTGTATCCCAGCGTTTAGTTGGCCAAGCGCTGGGTTTACTCGTGGAATGACTTGTGTTCGCCAGAAGGACAATATTATGTGTATGCATGTCCGCAAATGCCCAAATCCGTATGTATGTATGTATGTATGTGTATGTGTATGTGTATGTGTATGTGTATGTGTATGTGTATGTGTATGCATGTGCATATGTATATGTATATACGTGTATACGTGTATACGTGTATGCGTGTATATGTGTATATGTGTATATGTGTATATGTGTATATGTGTATATGTGTATATGTGTATGTGTGTATGTGTGTATGTGTGTATGGGTGTATGCGTGTATATGTGTATGTGTGTATGTGTGTATGTGTGTATGCATGTATGTATGTATGTATGTATGTATGTATGTATGTATGTATGTATGTATGTATGTATGTATGTACGTGTATGTGTATGTGTATGTGTATGTGTATGTGCATGTGCATGTGCATGTGCATGTGCATGTGCATGTGCATGTGCATGTGTATGTGTATGTGTATGTGTATGTGTATGTTTATGTGTATGTGTATGTGTATGTGTATGTGTATGTGTATGTGTATGTGTGTGTATGTGTGTGTGTATGTATTTATATTTGTATATGTATATGTGTATACGTGAATATGTGCATACGTGTATACATGTATACGTGTATATGTGTATATGTGTATATGTGAATATGTGTATATGTGTATGTTTGTTTTTTTGTTTGTTTGTTTGTTTGTTTGTTTGTTTGTTTGTTTGTTTGTTCGTATGTATGTATGTATGTATGTATGTATGTATGTATGTATGTATGTACGTGTGTATGTATGTGTCAATCTATGTATGTATGTATGTATGTATGTATGTATGTATGTATGTATGTATGTATGTATGTATGTATGTATGTATGTGTTTATGTAGGTATATAGGTATGTATTCATGTATGTATGTCTGTGTGTGTGTATGTATGCATGCCTGCATGCATGTATGCATCTATGCATGTATGCATGTATGCATGTCTGCATGTATGCATGTATGCATGTATGCATGTATGCATATATGCAGGTATGCAGGTATGCAGGTATGCAGGTATGCATGTACGCATGCATGCATGTAGGCATCTAATGTAATGTAATGTGATGTCATGTAAATGTAAATGTACATGTAAATGTACATGTAAATGTAAATGTGATGTAATGTAATGTGTGTACGTACGTATGTATGTATGTATGTATGCAGTATGTATGCATACTTATAAGTACGTACGTACGTGTGTCTATGCATACATCTGTCTGTCTGCCTGCCTGCCTGTCTGTCTGTAGGTAGGTAGGCAGGTATCCATGCATGTATGTGCGTGTGTATGTGCGTGTGTATGGATGGATGGATGGATGGATGGATGGATGGATGGATGGATGGATGGATGGATGGATGGATGGATGGATGGATGGATGGATGGATGGATGGATGGATGGATGGATGGATGGATGGATGGAAGGAAGGAAGGAAGGAAGGAAGGATGGATGGATGGATGGATGGATGGATATATGTACATATGCATATATATATATATATATATATGGATGCGTGCATGAATGGATGGATGGAAGGATGTATGCATGGATGGATGGATGGATGCATGCATGCATGGACGGACGGATGGATGGATGGAGAGGGAGGGATGCAGGGGTGGGGGGATGGGGGGGTGGGGGGGTGCGGGGATGGAGGGATGGAGGGATGGACGGATGGAGGGATGGAGGGATGAGGGATGGAGGGATGGAGGGATGGAGGGATGGAGGGATGGAGGGATGGAGGGATGGAGGAATGGAGGGATGGAGGGATGGAGGGATGGAGGGATGGAGGGATGCATGGATGCATGGATGGATGGAGGATGCATGGATGCATGGATGCATGGATGCATGGATGCATGGATGCATGGATGCATGGATGCATGGATGCATGGATGCATGGATGCATGGATGCATGGATGCATGCATGCATGGATGCATGGATGCATGGATGCATGGATGCATGCATGCATGCATGGATGCATGGATGCGTGGATGCGTGGATGCGTGGATGCATGGATGCTTGGATGCATGGATGCATGGATGCATGGATGCATGGATGGAGGGAGGAGAGGAAAGTCATATATGGACGGATATGTGGGTAAATTTATGGATGGATTTTGATGGATCGATGGGTTCGATGGGTGGATGGATGGATGGATGGATGGATGGATGGATGGATGGATGGATGGATGGATGGATGGATGGATGGATGGAAGGAAACCTGTGCATGTATAATATATATGTATATATTGATTTATCTAATTATTTATGTGGATGTCTGGATGTCTGCATGTGTGGACGGATGGTGTGTGTTTGCATGCACGAATGCATGCAAACACATATGCCTAGCTGCTTGTATATGCGTGCCGTTTTGTTATGCCTAGCATCCCAACCCAAGCTCCATGTTCCACCCACACCCTAGCGTCTCCCATGCGCCTTTCGGAACCGAACCAAAAATAAAGCACTGCACTTGGACAATACGACGCCAATACAAAAATACGAAGCCAGCAAACCAAACCGAGTGTCCGAATCAAGTCCATCAGTCTTGCACCAACACTAAACCAGAAGGAAACCAACATAAGCCTCGACATCACACTTTAAGCCCAACAAAAAAGAGGAGACAGCCTAGGAGGAGCAAACATGTTTAAGATTTGGGCACCCGTTTAGTGCAATCCTGAATCGCTTTCCGCCTCTTTTCCCGCCTTCGCTGTCTTGCCCATCTGCAGGGTCACTGTCTGCTGCTCGCCTGGTGCGAGCGCTCGCCATCTGAAGCCAGCTTCCGTGAGTTGAAGTGCGGATGGCCACCCTCAAGAGTCCCCGCTCAGAATCTGGAGCCCTGGGTCTGGAGTCCCTGACTGGCCTTGAGAGTGGACACTTCAAGTCGAAAGCGGCTGATCTCTTTGGCTCTGGTTTCGGAGGCTCTAAACCTCTCAAGCTTCTGACCGACTTGCCTGGGGAATCTGGAATCTGGAATTCTGACTCCAGAGTAACTCTGGCGTCACGTGCTTGTCGTGTCAAAGGCTAAGGCTTTGAAGGTCAGTCAGGTTGAAGATTTTGAGAACGTGTCCGATATCCTTCAATTCCTCTCTGGAACTTTAGAGATTCGAAGCTCGGCAGCTACGTCTAAAGAGCTGAAAGAAGATGTATATATATATATATATTTATATATATATATATATATCGGCAGAGATATGCTTAAACTGACGGCCACTATATTCAAGGACCTTGGTCCATGAGGGTGGACAGTACATGTATAGATCGATGTGCATCAACTATATTGTTTGTATACATATGTGCATGTATATGTGTATAAATATATATATGTATATACATATATTCAAAAACGGCACATGAGGCAACGACTCATCTAGAAACCAATTGAACATCCAGAGACCTAGAGGTTTTGGCCAAAAATCCAAAGACCTGGAGGTTTTGGTCATATATTGCTATCCTGGATTCCTTCCGGGTTCCGACGAAAAAAGGGCCGCTCCGGCGAGCGAGCCCATGCCCGAGGCCTTCCGTCAGGACCGCCCGCGCCGTCGCCTCCACAGAGAGAACTTGCACCTGCGGCTGAGTTGGGCAAAGACTTGGGATCGGTGCGAGAGGTGCAGGGCATGAGCTTTGGAATGACCCCAACAAACAATCCCCGACTTGGTGTCCTTTATGGGAATGCCCAGGTTCATTCCATCGTTCCCTACTTATCGCGCCAGCAAGAAGAGACAGGGATCAGAATTGGACGCATTGGAGTGGGCAAGGAAAGACGCCCCCAACCGGGATCCACTCAGCTGCATTACGCAAGACGCGGGCGACTGGTGGAAGACAATGCCCCCAACTGCAGACCTCGGAGCACCTGTGGATTCCCGAAACACGCCAATGCCCTTCATTGGACCAATGTGTTCTTCACTTAGGATGCCCGAACCGAGAATCAATGCACACATGACTCGCGCTCCACATAGACAGTGGCGAGCATAGTGCGTTTTGGACCCGCTCGTAGAGGCGGGCCAAGATGAAACCATGCCGAAACTCACATTGTCAGGCTCCTTTGTTTACAAAAGGACATGTTCCAGGAATCACTCCAGTCACACGCAATTGATGCAGCCCGAGGGATTTCTTGCAGTCAACCCCACCAAAAGCACTCGGATGTCAAGCAATCTTCTGCGGAGGACACCTCTTATGGTCTTCTCAGGCTGGTATCCTTGTTCAATCTACAGGCCAACAAGCTTGCCCATGTGAACAAAGACCCTTTCTTTGCAGCTCATTTTTTTCTGCTCAGGAATACTGATAGTTGCTCAGGTCATTGGGGGGGTCAGTTGACGCGCTAAGCAACAGATCCCGCAAACCTCTCGAACAGCGCTCGGCCGCGCGGTCCCCCACCTTGATGGCGCCGCATTCGCGGACCGTGCAGGGAAACCTCGAGCCGCAAATCGGGAAGCCCCCGACCGCGATGTCATCCAGGATCCATTCTGGCTTGGGCCCCCCCCTTCTTGCTTGGTTTAGAAGGAAAGCAGGGCGGAGAGGTACGGCCTTGGATGAAACGTCGGTATGACAAATGCGCTTCACAACAAGTCGAAGCTATCGACCACACGCGACCTGGGGCCCCGTGCTTAAAGGGCTTGTCGCCCACTTGAGACACCGACACCTGGCGCGTCGGGCAGTTGAGACCATGCTGCAGCAAGTATGACTCGGCTGGTGTGGTTCACCTGCATCCTCAAGCTATGCATGTGTCCGTATCATTGACAGGTGTCTTCAATATGAGGCATATCAAGCCAAGACATCAGTGTGCCTGGCAGGACGCAGCTTAGAAGGTCCTAATCTCTCAGTCTGACACATGCTGTGTTCAAACCCCAAACATAATGAAAAAATCATTCCCTTCAAGCTGGTCCGAATCAAAGGAGGCGATCCCCTTGCAGCAAACACGTCACGCCGGTCAGGCAAAAAAGCGAACCCCACCCAATGAAAGCAAAGCACCTCTGATGTAGTGTGGGCAACCATTCAAACGGATAAGTGAGAGGCCGACACGCGCCTGCCGTCTGGTTGCCCCCGCTCTGATTGAGAGGACGGCGTCTGGGGACACGCCTCTGCAGGGAGACCGTCAAGGCAATGCAATCCCCTTGCGCACACCCAAGACAAGCAAGGGTAGTGGACCTTTCCCAATCTGCCGACCACCGAAGCCGGAACAAGGCCGTTTGAGGACGTTTGGAGCTGTGATCCAGTAAAAACTTGTAAACCATGCCTACCCTCTGCGGATTGGTGCCACAATCACCCGGCCCGCACAGTTCCGGTTTCGCGAGTCTCTCCCTTGCCCAATCAATGGACCCCACACAAAAGATGCATCCGCCTCTTGGGGACCCCCCAAAGAAGAAATTGGCGGGTTCCCTTTGGCTCCCATCCCGAGCCATCGAACCCCTCAAGACGCCAACCCCACCCCAACACACTTTGAGCAGCAAGAACAAGCATAGGGCGGTGGCTCCAAAAACGTGGCAGGTCGAACAAGTGTGGAGAGACATCCCTTCGGATTTCCTTTCAGTGTGCCACTTGCAGGCGGCTTTTGGAGCCCGCACCATGAAAAACGCTCTGACAAAACCTAGCATCCCTTCTTTGAAGAGCACATGTTCTGGGGCTAAGGATCACTTTGCCCCCGCAATGCGTTGGGCATGCACAAATATGGAGCGTGTCTCACTAATGAAGGAAGTCCCTTGACACCCTTTGAACAATCCAAAAAGGGGTCTGTGCGTCATCGGCTTCTGTCAAACTGCCTGCCGCTCCCGTCTGATTACACCCAGCATTCGCCCATCGCCAGGCGCCTTTGGTGCCCTGAAGAAGGATCTCCATGACCTGCCCCGATCCAAGCCAGCTTCCGGGAAGCGAAGAAAAAACAAACGAAACGTCAAACCCATCTCCCCATCCGCAACACGTGCAGCTTCATATATTTCAGTGGACTTGTCGGGCTTCCGAAGCCGAACCTCCGAGCTTTCAGGACGAAACCTGCTCTCCCCTTGCCTCGCCGGAAGCGAGCAGTCCAAGGTCCGGCGAGGTGTCCGGCGTCTAAGCTCTCTCCGGGATGCGGCTGAAAAATTGGCACTCTGCTGATCCTGATTGAGCGCACCCCCAGAGAGCTGAGCCGAAAGGCGTGGCAGGATGACGAGACTTTACGTTCGATTGCCAGCCGTTCAGTTGGCGCCGCCTTGGCAATGTGTCAGACTGGGGACCCCTTTTAGCATGTTGTTTTGAGAGGAAACCCCAGCAAACCTGGGTCTGGCTGTTTTTGACACACAGCCCTTTCTTTGTAATGTGATTTGCTGCGTAATCATTCCCTCGTTGATCAACCTTGAGCCCTTCAGGACGGGGGGCTGTGATTAAATTGACGTGCACGTCTTACATGACAACAACCAAGTTGTTCATTTGAGAAATACGAACTCGCACGTACTGTTGGCTCACTGCTTGAGGAACCAACTTGTTTGAGTACAAAAAACCAGAGGTTTTTCCCTGTTCAAGCGCAAGGAGCTCACACGCAAATTGCACACACAAGGTCGTATGCCGTTCGGCAAAAGAAAGTTTGGAATCGCAAGCTGGGAAGGGACTCCATTGCAGTATTTACCGTTGCCCCGAAAACGGATTAACATCATTTGGGCCTCCTTGAAAATGTAGCAGATTGCAGATCATTATGGAAGTCGAGCGATCATTCGTGTCATGCCTGTACTTGCCTTACTTGCCCGTACTTGCCTTCGCTCACATAGTGTCATGGTGCGAACGGGGCTACATTCTCACAGCCCAAACGGACATGGTCGCTGCAAAAAGCTGACAACCACCCTCACGAACCGTATCACTTAAGGCCAAATGCTTTGACCCTGGGCATTGCCATGATCGAAACACCGGCTTCCTTGGGCAAAGGAAGGGGAGGATGGGGCAGTCATGGGCGGCAAAGCTAAGAATGTGAAACACCTTCGTGTCTCGGCTGTAATTGCCCCAAGAAAAAACACAACCAAGAGCACGTCATGGTCGCCGGGGCATTTTGAGATCGGAGCCCTGGTTACCTCAGGGCAGCCCTGGCCGGCTCAGGGCAGCGTGCCTCAGGGCAAGTTGAACCCCTGAAACAGAAAGCCAAAATAAACTAACCAACAGTGCTCGAAAACTTTTACATTGCATCAAAAGAAGGATTTTGCGATTCCTTCGGTTGTGACATGTCAACTGCTGCCTAGACAGAGGGGCCCCTTTGTCCGCTCGACACCGAGCCACAGTTGCGACCGCGCCATTGGGCGCGTGGACATTCCATCTCAGCGCAAAGGTGCGCTTCTGCAGCTGCGAGCCTCCCTGACCTCCCGGTCATTGCATTGGCAGCGGAGCACGGTTACACGATCCGGGAGTCCAAGGATCACCCGCACCTCGCCTTCGACTCGAACCTTGTCCTTGAGAGTGGCAACCTGGATTCTCCTTTCGCCTGAACTTCATCTACGGCAACCCTCCGGACAACAACTACCACCACTCCACCAGCTCGACTACGGCAACCTTCTGAAATCCATCAACTACAGAGGAACGAGAACACCATCTACGGCAACTTCCAGCTCGACCTCCTCGCCGCCACGATGGCTGCGCCATCAGATGCTGCTCAAGAGTCGTTGCCGGGAGCATCATTTCAACTGACACCACCAACACCATCCACTGCTCAAGATGGTCCAGAGCAACGAGCCTGGTCTGCCAAGCTACACCATTTCCACAAGGCAGCTGGACATCCCACAAATCGCAACCTCGTGCACCTACTTCAAGATGCTCGGCTACCCGAATGGAAGATTCAGATGGCTCGTGACTTCCAGTGCGCTTCGTGTGACGCTCTACGACCTGGCGGATCTTCTTCCGGCAGTATACCACCGGCATCCACGCATCCACTGTACCGTGCTTGGCAAGCTATTGGGGTCGATGTCGCCGAATGGGTGATACTTAACAGCAAGCTGAAGCTCAAGTTCATGCTGATCATGGACCTGGCCACCCGACTCCGAGCTGTACATGTCATCAAGTGCTTCGATGTCCTCAAGATGCAGAGCAAGAGCTCAGATCATCAAAGGTCTGGCCGAGCGGTGGCTAGCCACGGCCAGAGAGCGTCATCCCCGACAATGGCATCACCCTGGTCTCTCAAGACGTGGGCGGTTTCCTGTCCGACATCGGTGTACAACTTGCACCTCCGGCTGAGAAGGAAAGTTGTCCAAGTTGAGTCCGCCATCAAGGACGTCAAGATGACAGCATCAGCTATCCAGCTTGGCTCTCCTTCCCAGGACCCGACCATCACTCTACACGCAGCGCTCAACTCAACAGAATACGTCAAGGGACACTCATCCTTTCAGTGGTGCAACGGCAAGGACCACTCCATCACCGATGAGGACGTGAGAGCCTTTGCAACACTTCCTGAGTCGCCCGACGCACGTCTGGTCCAGCACGAAAAACCCGTGCCCATCGTGTCCTTTCCAAGCTCAACAACTCGACCGTGCGGCAGCCCATCAGAACCTTCCATCCCATGCGATTTGTGATGGTCTGGCGCAAGCAGTGGCCATCTCACATCTACGTTGGCAAGAGAGGTGGTGCCCGGAAGTCCGGACGCCCGCACTGGATAGGTCCTGGCCAGGCGGTGTTTCACGAGATCCTGCCACATCAACAACCAAGTGATGAGCGGAGGCACATCGTCTGGGTGCTTCTGCAGAACCAGCTCCTGCGCTGCTCTGTCCACTCCGTGACACCTACTACACCCTTGGAAGAAACCCAGTTCGAGATCAGTGCCAAGGAGGACGTCTTTCGGCGCTCACTTTCAGACATGTTGCCCATCAAGGAGTGAACCCGGAGCCAATGAACAAGAGCGACCGGATCTGCCAGATCTCCCCACCAAGCAGACCATCAACATTCCCAAGAGGCGAATTCGTGGGAAGTACACCATTTCTGGCCCCGAATCACTTGACAACTCTATGGGACCCTCCATGCCAGAACTTTCAGGCGAACCTCAAGCATTCCCGCCTGAGCTATCTGGTACATCAAGCCCAAGGAAGTCAGCAGCTTCATCAAGCTAAATGACGAGGAGGTCTGCGATGCCTTCGACTCTGGACGCATCATGCGAGCCAGATGGGTGCTCACCTGGAAGACAACACCTCCAACAAATCTTCAAGAAGCTCAAGCAGAGGCAACATCCAACTCCAAGAAGCAAGCATCGTGCTGCTTGGCTATGAGCGCAGTCTGGCTTGGGAAGAAATCTCTTGTACACCATGGCCTGCACTCACGGCTGGGAACTAGAAGGTCTTGACTTGGCCACGGCGTTCCTGCAGACACAGCCCGCAAAAAAAGATCAAAATCTGTGGACACGCGGTGTATCAGAGCTTCGTGAAGCTCTGGATGTCCCTGCAGACGGAATCATGAAGATCCTCAAGAACATCTACAGTTCAACGACGGCACCAAGGGGGCTCTGGCTGGATCTTCACCGGCGCCTTGCCTCCATCAGTGGCAAACCACCTGCGCCTGGATCTGGCGGTCAGCCACTGAAAGGGATGCATCCGGCATTCCCCTGGTACTTGGCATCATGGGCGGACACGTAGACGATTTTCACCACTGTGGCAACCGCCTTTCCCATGAGTGGTTCAGATCGACAAGCTCTGCGAGTGGGGCACTGCCAACCGCGGCAACTACCGGCACGCTGGTACCGACTTGACCTCCATCACCAACATGGACGGCCGTAGAGGTAAAGATCAATCATCGACTCCACGACCGTCTTCGGCATTAGAACGCGGTCATGAGCCCGGATGAGGTAGCTGCATGTCGAGCTACCTGAGGCCGTCTTCAGTGCCTGGCCTTGCAAACCCAGCAGCTCTGCGCTAGGTGCAACCTACTTGCCTCTGAGATCACGACCAAGCGTCTCACGCAGTCAGCTCTGGAACTTCAACAACTAGTCGGCGAGATACGCAAGCGTTCCTACCACCTGCGTTACAAGAAACCCCGTAGAATCGACTCATGGCAGGATATGGTGCTTGTGACCTTCTGCAAAGGCAAGGTCACGTACATGGCACCCTTGGCATGGCAAAGTTGGAATCTGCGCCGGAAGGCCATATCCTTGAATGATGCTGAAGTCAGGATCAGAACTTCCGCATCCGCGTGCTCCGGTGCGAGATGAACGGAGCCTGACGAGGACAGGGTGGAGTGGGCTGAACGCATGGCCCGTGGCATCAAGAACATTCTGGCCACTGGCAGCAAAGGTGGCTACGATGCGGTGATCTACAACGAGTTACCAATGCTTGGCTTGAGCAACGCGAGAGCCGCGCTCCAGGCTCTGCAGCTTCGGGGGCATCTCACCCGAACAGGGGCTGAGCTTCGTTGGGTAGCCAGCGACAACGACCTCGGCGACGCCTTGACCAAGAAGAAAGCTGAGTGTCGCCTAGGTCTCATCAAGTTTCTGCAACAGGCTTGTGGAGTGTTGCATATCTTGTTCCCTCACAGGGATGCCCACCGAAAACAAGGCCTCAAGAAAATGAAAAGGGGAAGAGGCCCCACCCCCCCCAACCCAAAAAAGGGGTCACACCCTTCAGGGAACAAACCAGTTGGTACGCGAGCTCCCCAACTTAGCTCACAGGGATGCCCCTGCAGCTCAAAAAGCCCCAAGACCCCAAAAGCCCAAAAGGACTCCCGGCGAAAGGGACCACCCACAGTTAGGGGGGAAGGAGGGGGGGAAGGCCCCAAAAGGGGGAAATCTCGAACCTTGAAGGCTGCGGCTAGAGTGAAACATGCACCTGCATAGACTCTCAAAATGTTTAACCGCACATGACAGTATGACACGGTGATTCGCGCATCTTTTCCGCTGGATGGAAGGCCAAACATATATTGCTAGGCTCTGGCTCCGTAATCCTGCGCCTCTTACTGAGAGCAAGTGGTCCCAAGCTGCCGAGGCAATCCCAAACGTTCCACCTCTGTTGGGCCAGACTGTTTGCAACAAGGGAGAAGCGCGACAAGCTAGAACGCCCCAGTCACGTTCCGAGTGTCGCACCCGCCTATGGGCCTTTGCTTTATCTCCACAGATGCCAAAGACCACACGCTCGCCAGCTTCTACCGACTCCGCCATGAGGGTGGCAATTTCCCTAGGGCCGG